TTTGAATCTGGAGTATATAATCAATGATGTACCTGAAAGAATTTTTGATAAATCAGTTAATGGTTATTCAGAAAGGAAATTAAGCTAGTTTCTTCTTACCCCAAACATACAAACATTTAATACTGTAAACTAACAAAAATATCAGCTAAATGTTAAACTGTAAAATAATATGAATAAAATAAGTAGATAGCTAATACTGTAGTATGTAGGAAAGCCTTTAAAAGATATTATTGACCATTGATAGGAAAGGAGAGTTGACTGAGTGAAAACTTAAAAATAAGCAGTAAAGCAAAAAGGGAAATAATAAATTAAGAAAATTTACAAAAAATTGCAAATGGTGGACATCTGGTATATAAAGTTTATGCATCAGTAAGAAAACAATACAGCAGAATAGAAATAGGGAAAGGCATTGATCAATCAGTTTTCAAAAGTAATTGGGGGAGGGGCTGGAGGGATTGGCTCAGTGGTTAAGAGCACTGACGGCTCTTGTAGAGGATCCGGGTTCATTTCCCAGCACCCATATGACAGCTAACAATAATTCATATCTCCATTTCCAGTAGAGCCAATGCCCTCTTCTGACCTCCACAAGCATTGCACAACACAGGTACACTTACATACATGTAGGCAATACATTCATACACATGAAAAAAATAAAATATTTTTTAAAAAAGTAACTGGGCAAAAATCTGCACTGGGAGAGAACAGAAATGTGCAGTGTCAGTGCAATCTAATGAGAAATAACACACATGGGTTTTAAATTTATTTTTATTTTGTGTATGTGTGTACAGTATGTGTATATACATGTTCATGTATGAGGACATGCACTGCGCCATGGCTGTGTGTAGAGGTCAGAGGACCACTTTGAGTGCTGGCCCTTGCCTTCCACCTTTTTTGAGGCAGGGTCCCTTGTTTCTGCTCTTGGCCTACCCCCAGCTACTCCATGAGCTACAGGTGACTGTCTTTTTGCTGCCTCCCATCATGTCTACATGTCAGGGTTACAGACATATGTCCCTGCTTCTGGCTTTTACGTGGGTTCTTGAATTTGAATCCAGGTTGTCAGGTTTGGGTGGCAATCACTTTTGCTTATGAGACATCTCCCTGGCCTATTTTTTTTTTTTGACTATCAAACTGACAAAGATTTAAAGATCATATTAACAAAGTTCAGGGTTCAGGGAATTGGTTCATATTTCATGATATGCACAGAAAATTTACATAAACTGTAGTGGAAGGCATTATGGTGGTGTTTTACAAAAGCATAGGACCTGACAAATTCCCTTTCTAGGAACTGAATCTGAAAGAGAAAATTGTGTATGTGGCAAAAACCTTTGCTTTCTTCCCACACTTTACAAGGAAATTCCTGAAGGAGTCACCTCAGTGGTTTAATCTCATACAAAAATTTCTGTAATTTTTTTGGTGGTATTATTAATAATAGTAAAATAAATGTGTACAATAAGAAAATAAATTTTATTACTTTCATAAAATTAAATACATAGTCACTAAAAATAGTGTAAAATGTTTAATGACATAAGGACACTATTATATAAAAGGAGATTATAAAACATTAGGATGAGTTTGCATGCCTGACTAAAAGGGGATCTCTAAAATGTTAATGAAGATGTAGAATGCAGATGTAGAATTATGAGCAATTTTGTTTTTCATTTATTTGTTTGAACAAGGTCTCGTATAACCAGATGACCTTGAGCTCACTGTGTAGCTAACATGGGCCTGATCCCAAATTCCTGATCCTCCTGCCTCAGTCTCCCAAGTGTTAGGATTACATGAACATCAGAGTGGACCTTAATTTTCATCTTTATAGTTATTATAAAAAAGTTGAGCTATCAAAAAATACAATTATTTCTTTAAAACTTTATTTATTTATTTATTTATTTATTTATTTATTTTTATTTGTATGAGTGTTTTTGTCTGCA